TATATATATATATATATATATATATATATATAAACAAATTGGTTGGTGAGCGGGCTAGAACTCGTAGACTTAATTTTGAGCTTGATCACGATAAAATTAATCAAGCTCGAGCTGAGCTGAGGTGGCTTAAGCTTTGACTCAACTTGACATGTTTACACCTCCCGTGACGACTAAGTTTATAATTTTGAAAAATAACAAATTGGCATAACTAATTGCATTATAAAATATAAATATTAAATAGCAAGAATGGCATGAATTTAAACGCTTACACTTTAGTATTCTATTTGAGATTGCTTTCAAGATAAAATCATTTGGATTATCTCTATTTTGATTGTTTTAAAAGTGCAAATGTTGCTTTGGTGTGAAATTGGAACGTGAAAGTTGACTCAATTTCTATTAAAGAACATAAATTAGTTAATGACCAACATCATCATTAGGGTGTAGCTTAATTTACTTACTACTACTCTCAACTATAATACGTGTAAGCACGGCTTCAAAATTTGAACTTGATTGACCGGTTGTGGTTCGACCAAGTTTAGAATCTTTTCTGTATAGAAATGAGATTGAACCAATCAAAATTAGGTTTAAACTGGCGAACAAGTGAATCAATTTGGTTTCTAAAGAATCGGCCTGTTTTAATAATCTCCAATTTTGGCCTATTAATTCTGAAATGTCAATGTTTTAATTTTTTATTTATATATTATTTAAAATATTTAAAGGTGTTATCTTAAATTAAAATATTATTTATTATATTGCTAAAAATGATAATTTTATTATTTAAATTATATTAAAATAATTTAAATATTTATTAAGTCATCAGATTAAACTTTCGATTCAATCTCCTCGAACTCGAACTATTGAACACTGAGTCTTTTATTTTTCTTACCAACAAGTTTAAGAGATAACTAAAGAGAACAATTTAACTAAAATTGACTGCTAAATGTTACTGCTAACAAAATTCCATTTTGATACCAAATATATTAGCGCCATAATTTGACCAACTTTGTCCACAAAAACTGTCATCTAATTCCTATTAAGCCCTTCTTTTCAATCTAATTCATGACTTGAGCAATTCAACATTATAAATCATATTTTTATGTTTTTTTTTTTTTCGTGTGGTTTAGAAGCTAAAAAGGGTCAATTTGGTTGGTAACTTTGTAAAAATATGATTTAGAATTCGCATGAATTTATGAATATATAATAATGAAATCATGGAATATTATTTAAAGTATATGGGATCCTAAGCACATAAATAGGACTAGGCAGTCAATCTACATTTAGTAGAATTGACTACATTTAAAGAGAACTTGGCTAAAAGCTCGAGGTTAGATGAATCAAACAAAAATGTTTATGACCATGAACAAACTTGTTTGCTTAAATTTCTTGTTTGCTTGGATTTTATAAAATCGTTTGTTATTAACTTTATATTAAAAGTTGTATATACTTATTAACTTATTGAAAAATTAATCCCAAAAAGCCAAGAACACATTGAGATGATCATTACAAATTTTAAACATGCAAGTATAAATATACATCTAGATGTTTGGTTCTTGCTCAAGTCGAACAAGAACAAGTTATGATATGATCAAACAGAGCTTAATTAATGTCATACTCGGTTAGATTACACCATAAATACAACTGCATTTGATATCCAGTGGCATGTGATGAACTATAAGCTTATAGATAAATACAACTGCATTTGATATCCAGTGGCATGTGCTGAACTATATTCTCTCGTTGCACTCAGTTGAGAAGTCCACTTGTTTTTACCCATGTCATACAAACAGGGTTGCAAAAAATCAAAGTTTACAAATAGTTGCCCATGACTCAACTCAATTTGAGTTTGTTCATGTTCAATTGATTTACTAATCAAACAAACATGAACATTTTTGTAAGCACTTGTCTAGAACTTTTAAACCAATCACAAAATAATTCAACTTTATTCCTTTGTGGATAAAGCTCGTAGACCTTTCTCTTTGTTGTTGGAGCCCTTCAGGAAGTCCTAAAATTTGTAGTAAGTTGGGGGTCCCACTTGCTATTGATATCCTTGCTGCCACTAAATCTCATCTCACATTTTACAAGATTTCATGTACAAATTAAAAATGGATATACTCTTCCTGAAGATATTATCCTAAAATTTTAAGGGAAGGACTTCAATCTAAAACTACAATAAAACTAGAAGCCAACATCTTGTAGTGGTTTTTGTTCTTTGGTCCAAGGACCTCAAGTTTCTCCAATGAATCCAAAATTTTTTTCCTAATAGATTTGTATCCACAAAATAAATTGAAGCATAAATTCATGCCATCCTTAAAGAGGTCATCCTCCACATCCTTATAATGGTACTTTTTCATTTAAACCTTCTCACCCTCATATCCTTACTCTCCCTCATAAAGAATCTCTATCTATTCTTGGAATTTTAGAATAATAAAACCTAGAAGGGATTATTTCCTCAACTTCTAGCTCTATACATAATGTTAATTCCTAGAGAAAATTTCTCAATAGATCGAGTAGGCTTTAATTATCCCTATTGTGCTTGTTTCCCTTGCATCCACTATTTCTAAATCCAAAAATTAAAGCCATAAAAAAAGTAAAAATAAATAAACAAATAACAACCCTTCTTCTATCGCTCACCCTAAACCACCCAATCATCAATGATTCGTCCACCTATATTCTTTGGAAAATTCATGGCTTTCATGGCAGGGGGAGTGTTTTTCATTGCAAAGATCTTAAACTTTTTCACTCTCTTGATATTTTTCATATTCTTAATTCTACAACCATTTCATCTAAACTCATTGATGTCTTCTTTAATATTTTTCATAAACTCTTTTTTAAAGAAAGGAATTGCAACAAAGATTCACTCTCTAGTCTAGGAAGAATCTAGATTAAATGGAATAATGCTAATTTTCTCCACATTTTATGGATAATCAAGTCATTCATAACACTAAAAATTACTCATTTTTTTATATCTTTTATTTATGCTGGTTATTTTCTATGGTGAAAGGGAAGATTTTAATAATTCTATTTCTAGTTTCATCAATAAGTTTGATAAATATTGAACTTGGGAGCAATTTTAACTATTATCATTTCAATTATGAGAAAAATGGGGCAAAATTTATAATTTCCAAAAAAACTAAAAAGTTTCAATGACTTCCTTCTTCATGTGGGTCATTATGTTCCTGCATCTAAAGGCTCCTTCTTTACTTGGTCTAATCAAAAAATTAATTCTCCCATTACATGTAAATTGGATAGAACTTTAGCTAATTCTCTTTGGCTGGAAGCCTTCTCTTTAGTATATTGAATGTGCTTTCTCTACTTTTCTTATACCACTTTTCTCTTATTATCGAGAATGAAGTTACTATTATTGTTAAACACATGTATTTATTTAAAAATTATTGGATTCTTTACAAATAATTTAGTTATCTCCTTCAAGAAACGTGTCATCAACCTATTTATGGTGATCGTATCTTTATCTCTTTTTTTTTTACAATGTAAAGCTCTCAAGCTTAAACGAAAGGGAATTTTAATGGAACTCTAACTCTCACCATAAGAAGGATATTTTGTTAGTTAGAAGACAACAAAAGTATTTATCAAAATTTTGGATAGACAATTGCTTTCTAATATGTTGAATAATAGAGTGAAGGAATTAAATGACAAGCTTTCTGATAAGTCAATGTTATGCTTCTTTGCTTTCTCAATGAGATAAAGCCAAATGGTTTGATACTAGAGAAGTTGACCTTAATTTTTTTTTTAAATTAAAGGAAGTAGAAACACCAATTCAATAAATCTCAAATCTACTCAGGAAGAAAATTTGTATAAGCATTCTAGTAGGTTTTTTAATTGTATAGCTATCATAAACCTCAAAAGATTTATATCTAAATGATCATATATGATATTTAAAGAATAATATACCATCTTGAAGAATAGAAATATTAACTTAGAATGTACCTAATCATTCAGATAATGAAATTCTTCGTGATTTATGGATCTGCGAAACTAAGATTTCCCCCCTCACCTTACTAGTGTAAGATAAGATTTATTATATTCTAGGTTATGGTATCCCTATGAGGAGGCTCCCTCATAATTAATTACATCTCAAGAATTACTCCTAAGAACACTCTCGATTCAAATGATGACTTATATCTCTCTTAATTATTAGAAAATCTCTACAGAACGACAAAGCGTGAGAACTTAGTTGAAAGGGTAGACATAGATATAAATTGACTTCATTTAAGTTTACCAACTTAAATTCGTTAAGTTAAGTTTCATTTTAAAAGCTTTTTTTGGGTTCAAGTTCAATTTAAGTTGCTTATCTAAATTTTTAAAAGGTTGTATAAAGTTTTAAAATTGATTTGATTAAAAAGGTTAAAGTTTTAATTTGTTAAAGCTATTAGATTTGTTTTAAGTTGATTTTAAAAATTAGTCTGAGAGTTATTAAATTTCATTTTTTTTAGGTTTAGAAATTTTCTTTTATTGGTTGGAGTTAACTA